TAAATCACCCAAATCTCTCCGAGCTGTCACATTCTGCAGTCTCTCTCCTTCTATTTTTCTATCTTACCTGAAAAAGTGGACATCCTCACATTTTCCCACACTGTACAATATCTGCCAGGTTCTTACCTATTCACTCAACCTCACTGTATCACTTTTTGGACTCTGTATACTCTTTACGACTCACTTTCATACCTATCATAGCACCAGCAAGTTTGGCCACAATATAGTCAGCCTCTTCAACACAGTCACAAACTTATGACACTGAACTAATTAGTTTGCCAACTTGAAAACTACCCATTTACCCTAACTCTCTACTTCCTTTTGTTTACACAAGTCTTTATTCTTGTCTTATCATGAAAGATGTATCAGAAAAAAAATTATACCTATTGCAAACATTTAAAACTCTGCAAAACATTCACTGAGAAGACATTTTGCTTTCAAGACCAACACTTTACTATTTTCCCCAACTGTTCACAACCATAAACAGGAATCGATGCAAGGGCCATTAGGGATGGGCAACAAATGTTTGCATTGCTACCAATGCATCAAATCAAAGAATTTTTAAAAAAAATCATATGGTCTTGTGCTGAAGACCCTCTGTTCAACATACTAATGCAGAAAATTAAATATATGTTGTATATGCACACTTCACACGTATGTTAATGAACTACTACTCAAATTATTTACCTCTTCCAAAGAGAATAAAACTATTGAGCTCCTATCATGTGATACCGTACACCTTCAATTTCAAGCAATACCCTGGATCACACTCCACAAATGCTCAACCTTACACTGTACACTCAGCACAAATATTGCCAAGAAATAAAACGAATTATGTAAAATAAATATTAAGAATACAATGCAATCTCAGTATGCAGAAGTTTGACAAATCTCACTCTGATTTGAATGCTCCCAAAAGAAAATACAAGCTCTATTTGCTATGCTGAATGATAGCCACAATATTTCTACTATATTCTCAACAATTAATCATTTTAACCAGAAACACCCAATTCAAAGAATATTTTAAAAGCCAGCGTTTTCTGTTGGAGAATTAGAAAGGAACAAGTGCAGACCATTTCAGAAGGCAACTCAAAACACAGCACTGTAATTCCAGATTTCTCGAAAGAACACACTAACAGGACTAACAAACAACAATAAAAGCCACATGACATTTTAAAGACAAATTAAGCAGAACACTCAAAAATTAACAGTTCACAAGTGAAAGACTCTAGTCTGCACTAAAATATAATTTCCTTATTTTCCTAAAGTGATGCCTGACATGGGAGCAGGGTTATACTTGCATCCCAAGAATAAACCTTCCTCAAAGTAAAATGCAAATATAAAGTCATTCAAAAATTGAAATTTAGCATTGTAGAGAAGCTTGTGTTAATTAGGAGGATTTTTTTCTGCAGTTTGTTGAGCTGAGAACAGTTGTTTTGGTAAACACAGCTGTAGATATCATTTGGCACCTAGGCAAATGACAGTTCAAACACTAGCTCTGTAATTCACAATAGTAAATAAATAACATGCTTACAATGAATAAACATCACTGTTTGTGACAAATAATGTGGCATTGTAATCAATTTCGACCAAGCAAAGTAAAAATGCAGTACATTGCCCTCCAATAATAAATGAATAAAAACACTGCAAGCTAAAAGCCCCGACATATAGCTGAAGCCAGTTGATGAGCCCACTCAGAAAATACTCAAGCAACTCCAAATGCTACTGTCAACACAACACTGATGCACTACTTCAAAATACCACTGCTATAATTAGCAGCCACCTACGTAAAGGCTTACACAAGGCTGAAACATTCCTACTGATGAACGCTGTTCCACTTTTACCATATCAAAACTTTGCGCTCATTGATAAAGTGAAAATATTTTATAAAAACAGACATGGAAGTAAAATGAAATAAAAAAAAGACCAAAAGAACTGCAGATGCTGGAAATCAAAAACAAAAATGAAAATTGCTGGAAAATCTCAGCAGATATGGCAGCATCAGAACGGAGTTCTGAAGAAGGGTCACTGGACCTGAAATGTTAACTCTGATTTCTCGCCACAGATGATGCCAGATCTGCTGAGATTTTCCAGGAATTTCTGTTTTTGAAGCAAAATTGAAGTTTGATATTCAGCTGTTGAGTGAAGCTAAAATTAAGCTTCTTCCACTATCCAACAAATACACATGGTAGTAATAAATTAAAACTGAATGAAAAGCATTTATCAAACCATTTCACACCAGCAGCATAGTTCACAGTAACCTGCACAAATGAAACTAAGTTGGCCACAAAAAAACTGCAGAATAACAATTTTTAAATCCTGACCAACATTTTCCAAGGCCTAAATTACATTTACAATTCTTGATATCCACCTCATTCACTACCAAAGGGAATGAAAACATAGAGACTGTCAATGCACTACATGCACAATATGTCTGTATTTTAGGAATAATTTTATCCCCTTTCTCCACTCCAAGACTCGTGTCTTAATTAAGGGATATATTGTCAAAGGGAGAATATTAGTCTTAACATATTTGCCTCAGTGTAGTTCTGTTCTCTTCAGTTGTGACGAGATGGGTATCTCAAAATCTTCCAGTGTGTTGATACTATTCCCTTTCAATCTTATGGTTTGAGAACAGATTTCCTTAAGGCATTATAATATGCCTCTTATCTTCATACACAATACTAAGTTAGTTTTCTTTCATGTTAATATTCCTCTCAGTATGAAAATCACAAGAAAGTTAAACATTTACTTAACATGTTCAGTTACCTCTGCCATATCCTACATATTAAAACATGACACCTTAGGCACTACCTGGATCTTTCCTTGGTCCTTATTTCCCTCTTCCACTAGCAAGTAATGACTGTGTTATCAAATTAGAGGTTTAATCATCATGATTTTTGTCCTGTCCAATTCAACTTGACAAATATTAAATTTTAGATGCAGAAGAAAAGCAATCAATGGTACCATACAACCAAAACTTTTCCTTTAGGTAGCTAATCTAATGCCCAAGAGTATACAATTAAAGTAAATTATGTGGCTAATGTATAAAGTGAAAAAGTTTTTATCAAATCTTCCTTTCTGGATTTTCCCTTCTCTTCCTTGTTCTTCAGAGTTCGATCATATGGACAAATTAATTCGGCAGCCTGCCCTCCTCTGGTTTACAAATTCAGGATGAAAATTTTAAAAAGTGGGGTACGACTGAAATATTATATTTTGACCAACAAATTTGCTGAAGAAACTTTGTGACTGTTCTGAGAGGAAAAGCCAAAGTGTGCATTTTTAACACCAGAGTTACAAAGAGAAAGTTGATGCCATTACATTTCAGTAACTATACTCTATTTTACTAAGAATGAGTCGTGTCACTGCACAACTATAATTACTATTACACTAAATTTAAGCTGCTGAAATACCATAGCTATCTGACTCTACTCCATGGAAACAAATCTCTTTCTCATTATGTGGCAAAACACCTGGTACCCAACATTTAAAGTAGCCAAACTAGAGATTACAGAAAGCCTCCTTTCTCATAAAATCTTGTAACAAATACAAACAGAAACAACGCGCAGAACAGTATTTTGGAACAATGCTACTGAACTTGGTAGAAAAGCTCCAAAGCAATTGAAATCCAACTTGGTAACAGCAACTGCAATTGTAATCAAACCAAAATCATTAATTGAAAATTAATTCTTAAAACAATATCATCACTTGATTCAGTTTAAAATATCTAAAAAGATTTAAAATGCTTAATTTAGAAATTACTGCTCACCTGATGTGCCAGAAAGCATCATGTATTTAGTAGTCTTGGTACTGGACAGAGTAAATCTGAAGTCTTAAAGAAACGTCCACCTACGAGGTTTAGAAATCGTGATAGTCCTTTCACAGCAAAGTCAGTCTGATATTTAATTATAATTGACCAGGAGGCCGATGAAATTACAGTCGTTAAACTACTCAGACACTGCAGTAACTCGCACTCCGCTTTCTTTTTCGGGTCTTGTACTGTCAATGTTCCTATCAAATCTAGAGACCACTTCTAAGAATAATGGCGATATTTGCACTAAGTGAATAGGTGGGTACATGATATCTGCCAAAATTAGCGATCAGATCTAACAGCAGATTTCTACTATGCCATGGACTGCTAGAAGTGGATCTACCTTTCTGATCACCTCCCTCGTCTTAAATTCCACTGTCATTTGAACTACACATGGCGTGTCTAGGCAAATTTGATGACTTGGATGTTGGGCTGACTTCCAAGGCTACTTTAATATATTCTCACGTCCCTCAAGAACTAGCAGAGATACAACACCTTCCCTTATTTACGTTTTGTAGCTATCGTCCGATCGGACACCGAACATAATGTACACAGAGACAGAAGCCGTTTGCCAAACTAGTTTTAAACCAAGTTTGTGGGGTGGGGGGAGAAGAGAAGGTAACGTGGGCAATATCCACTTAGAAATTCGATTCTGCGGTTAAGTAAAATTTACAAGATAATAATGCAATTCGTGCCAAGTGGTGTTGCAAGTGCGTTACGGAACGATTCAGTTTCCTTGGACGAAAAAAAATCAAATCTGGAACTTTTCTTTCAATAAGAAGAAAATAAGACCCCCGTTGACCTCAATATACAATCCATGTGCAAGGCACACTTGACCCCAGCAGTACAAAAACAGTTGGGTGCGTGCAAATAATACAATTCATCGCCATACGCCTCAAGCGTGCATCCTGAAAACCACAAATCGGATGAGCACAGGATAAAAAAAGGTGGATGTGAAACCTGCCTTTCTACATTCCCTGTAAATTTCAAAATAAACGCCGCAAGAATAATGCCCGAAACCTCAACAATTTACATTCAGGATTTAACCAAAAGATTTTACAAAACCAAAAAGAAATCCAGCTCAAATAAAAGAAACTAGCGAATTGTAACTTTGATTCCCCCCACCCCCTCGTTATTTTAAACCCCCTCAATCTGGATCCCCCCGCGCCTCTCCTTCCCGCATACAGACCTGCAGGGCCTAGTCCAGGCTGCGGACCGTCTTCACCAAATATCAGCCTAAAGTCAAACTCGTCATTGCCACTGTTTACAGTAGTCATCGGTTAGCAGTTTCCCTTTCCCCTACTTGTTTAATAAAGTTCATAACAGAAGCAAGGGTCCCGGCTCCCTCCGCCAACTTTTTCCGGGTGGGAGGGGGGGGTTGGGGTGGGGGGGGAAGCTTGTTTGATTTTTTTCCGCTCGCACACTTTCTCTCTCTCTCTCTCGCTATCCCGTTTGGAAACAGTTAACCGAGCTCTCTTCCCCCCCCCAGCCCCCGCTCCACCGACGCCCGCCGCTGCGCCTCTCAAACTTTGCCGAGCCTCATCGCCGCGCCAGCTCGCGATCGTGCTCGTCCCTGGCCGGCGCGCACGCGCGCCCGCTGTCGAACACGCCGCTGACGCCATCCCCAAGCCGCTCCACCCACCTTCACCACAGGCCGCGCCCCCTCCGGCACGGGGAACACCCACCTAATGGCGTCAGCTCGCCAAGCAAGAGCGCATGCGCGCCAGGGCATGACGGGTGTTGTAGTCCCTTTGGTTCATTGCCGTGTGGCAACACCCGCGCGCCAGGGCATGACGGGTGTTGTAGGCCCTTTGGTTCATTGCCGTGTGGCAACACCCGCGCGCCCGGAGCGGAGAGTTTTCATTGTCATGTCCTTTGCCAAGTTTATTATCCTCTACATGAAGCAAAGGACTGTGGATGGTGGAGATCTGAAACAAAAACAGAAATTGCGTTGAACGCCAACTGTGCTTTCTTCCCCCAGTTGCTGCTGCCGGACCTGCAGAGTTTCTCCAGCAATTTCTATGTTTGTTAAATTCGCAACAAGGGCAAAAGCGTGTGTTGTTCTTTAAATACTTCCGCATCGCTTCAGAGAATTAAGCAGAAAAGCGGATTGTGGGCTTTCTTAATTCTGTACCCGAATGTGGAAAAATAATGTGGAAAAGCAGAACTATTTGAAAATTCTTGTTTGAAGTACCACTCACAGTAAAAATCCCAAAAGCAACAACAACTGAATTAAAACAAAGAAATTAAGTAAGATGCTTTCGTGTTGCTAATATGTTTGAGATTGCATTTAATATAATGAAATATTTCACACTAGTAATAACAAATTTGACACCGAACTACCTAAGGCAATACCACAACAGTAGATTTCAAACAAGATGGTTATAAGTAGCATCTTAAAGGAAGAAAAAGGGGTGATAGGTTAATGGGGGTAACTCCAAAGTTTAGAGTATTGACAAACTGAAGGCATGCCCAAATAATAGTGAAACAATTAAAATCAGTTTGCAAAGGAAATCAGAAGTCAGACATTATAGGACCACAGACATCCTTGATTCATGTAACACTGCAGAGGATTGCTGAGTTAGGGAGTGGCAATGCTGTGGATCAAGCTTTGAAAACCAAGATTAAAAGTTTAGCACTGAGGCTTTGGTCAAATGCGAACCAATGTAATTCAATGTATCGGGCACAAGAACAAAATGTGAGCATGAGAGATAGTAAGAACTGCAGATGCTGGAAAATCTGAGACAACAAGGTGCAGAGCTGGATGAACACAGCAGGCCAAGCAGCATCATAGGAGCAGGAAGGCTGACATTTCGGGCCCA